TATATACGAGAGACGGAGTTGAAGCACGCGCAAGCTCGAGCCGCACGGAGCAACTGAGATTTCGTGTATCAGCCTCGTTTGGAGCAACTTGATCGTTTCTACGTGCACTCGCGACTTTCGCGATAGGTATTCTACAAGTGCTCGGATGTGCGCGCACGCACAGCTACATGTATATATGCATAGCAATCTAGCTTTATGGTGAAGAATTGAGATACATGCGTTGCCACGTGTTGTTGGGCTGCAGATTTTTTGAAACTTGCACGGAAACCGCAGCATTGTGAGCCTCAATTTCGTGACATGGATAGCGTGTGCTGCTGCTGCTGCTGCTGCTGCTGCTTTTGTGTTGCACGCGTATCATTGACGCGCCAAGCCTATGGAAGGCTAACCGCTACTCAAACTCCGTCAAGGGGCGGTCGTTCGTTGGCTCCGCAAAGGCTGGCTGACATCCAGCAGCAGCGCCGAAATCGCTTTCTCTCTCTCTCCCTCGCTAACTTGCTTTAGTATATAGCCAAACCTCGGCACACGTGGGGCTGAGCTTTAAACGCGCGTACATTGCATCCAGAGAAAGGTAAAAGCCATCATCGTTATACTCTCTGCGGAATATATGTGCACAAGCGCTAGTGTATGAATACATGGACGCATGTTCACTTATATTGGGATACGTAAGCGCGTGTGCAAGGATATCTCTCGCGATACCAGCCTAACTTGAGATTAACTTGAGGCTAATTCACTTACGTACATATAGAACGAGACTCGCTACGGTCGCGCTTGTTCGCAAAGCCTCTAGGCCACCATTAGTATTAGAGCCTCGTGGTATTTAGGATTAGTTTTCCGGTGTGCCCTACCATACACACACCCACACACGCACACACACACATGCATTAGCAACCGAGAATTCATACTTTACATATAAGCTATGCAAACACGCAGACAAGTTTCGATATATCGGTAAAATTACGAATCGAGATACTTATAATTACTAGGGTTACTTTACTCCTTAACTACCGATTCAAGTACACACAACACATCCTCGTTTGATATCTTATCGATTTCTAGTTTTTTTACCAACTAAAAGCGTGTTTCTTCTCATTCGTAAGAATTTGTTACGTTACTTCTTCAAAAGCTTTTGCATTTAAACTGTAAAGTTTACTCACCGATTAATTTATACTCCAGATTATTTTCTCAGTGAGTTTTTTGTTGTTGTTGTTCCTTTACGTATTTGCTCGATAAACTACTTTGCGCTTCATTGTGAGTGACATAAAATTTTGCCGGCTTTTGCAAGAAATAACTTTGTGCTCTTAACTTGACAAAGTTCAATCATCTCTTCATTTAATTAAGGAAAATCATCCTGTATATACAGTGCATAAACAACTGAATTATCATAACTTATTCATGAAACTAGGCAACTTTAAAATAGTACAAACAATATGCCAACTGAAGCACGAAGGTCGTTCTGAGCTCGAGCTGTACAAATGCATGTATTTATAAATGCATGCGGCCATCAGGAGGTATAAGTCATTTTCAAACAAGAAAAGAAAGAACGTATACAAGTGGATCAAAAGAAAATTCATATCTTTAGAATGACAACTAGGATCCATCTTTGTGGTTGTTGTATGTTATACACATCAAAGTTATACACACGCCAAGCACATGTTGCATCAACTACTCAGATTTCTTTCATATATTTATGCATGTATTTTCAAATGATATTTAAATGAGCAGAGAGTAAGAGAGAAAGAGAGAAAGAAAAGAAGATAAAAAAGTTTCATCGAGAGATTGAACTACCACCTTCCTTCTGGTAGACGAGCACATGTGCACATACTCTTATTACGTACTGAAGAGCGAACTAGAGATAAAAGCAAAAGTCGTGCAGGACAAAATAGGGCGAAAACGGCTGCTTTGCTTAGATATATAGTCCGAGACGAACTTGGAGTTGATGCGTATATATGTTTAAAGTATATGGGGGGGTACCAGAAAGAGACAGAAAGAAAGGAGACTGCAGAAAACTTGCGTTATTTTCACAAGGTTCTAGTCTTTATTTAAGTTTACTCTCTGTCTCTCTGTCTCTCTCTCTCTCTCTCTCTCTCTCTCTCTCTCTCTTTCTCTCTCTTTCTCTCTCTTTCTCCTTCTCTCTTTCTTTCTCTCTTTTTCTCACTTCGATCACTTCACACATACTTCAGCATCGTACATACCGTTACATATACACACATAGTTGGTAACCTTTGCCCTGCACAAGCATACTTTCATTCGAAAGTTTTTATCTATTTTTTTGTCTCCATTTTCTCCTGCTGGTAGTAGCTAGTTTAAATATTCACTCGCAAGCAAGTTTTCCGAATATATATGCGTGTATGGGACAGGTGAAATTGACGCTAAAGAGTGAAAAAGAGGTACGAAGTGCTTTTCTTTCTCTATCTCTCTTTCTCTGTCTCTCTCTTTTTCACTAAATTTTTTGTACTTATTTCGAAATAGTTTGTACTTGCTTCTGACGTACTTTTTAAATGTGCATACACCATGAGTCGTGTGAAATTTTTTCATCATCCATAGTTTTAACGATTTTATAACGTATGGCAAAATAAAATTTGAATTAATGAATATTTTCCCACGCGTACAGTGGTAATTTATTTTAAGCTACAACATTTTTGAGTGTACAAAATTATACGAGTATATTATCATAAAGGTTGATGAAAGTTTTTGAAACCTGTGCAGCTTATTACATACTTAAAAAATTCGCATTTTGAAATAGATTATCAAGGTAATAAATAAGATGTGTAACATTTTAGTATATTACTGCCCTAGGCCGCGAAAAACAGAAAAGTCCCAGAGTACGTGTAATTAGAGGCCGAGGCGAAGCCGAGGCCGATAAACATGTGCTCTGGGGCTTTCTTTTTTCGCGGCATAGGCCTGTATACTATTTTTCATACACAGTGGCCCGAAAATCGCTCTTCCCGCTTTGCGCAGCGGCAGGGAAGTAGTCACTTTCGGGCCGCTGGTATGAAAATTTATTTTTTCTTCTTCAAATGATGCAATCGATAGGTACGTATTATTTTAGACGTTAAAAATGTCAAAAAATTGAAAAAATCGAGAAGTATTAATTTGAATGCGTAAATTTTACCATGAGTATTTAATTGTCAGATATAAAAAAGTAGTGTAAGCATCTAAACATTATTTTTGCCAATTTTTACTGACAAAATGCTTCTTTGAAGCCAACAGAAAATAATAAAATTAAAAATTTCTTGTAATAAAGAACACATTTCGAAATATAAAAATTTTGTTCTCGTAGAAGTGTGTTGTAAAAGTAAAGCTTTGACGAAATTATTAATGATGATGTACAATATACTTATACTCTTAATTCAGATAAACATAAATGTATATACTTATGATGCACATATTTTACTCGTTCAAAAAGTAGACCGTGGAAACTTTACTTAATACAAATGACTCATTGTGTATATCGCATCCAAAATATGTACACTTATAAAGGTGCATTGTGTATCACGCGAGGGCGTAAAATGTACTACTCGAGCTTGCCGAGCGCGAGCTGCAAACTTCTATGAGACAATTCTCTACTAACGCCAGTTGCTATACTTATATATAAGATCGTGTATCATATACAGGCAACGGACCGTCGAGTTGATAGTAATTTTCTAAACGCATCGTAAAACTACACCCTATGCATAAGGAGATCTGGACCCCACATTTTTATCGTCCGAGACACGCAAAGTTTCTTTTATTTTTAACTTTTTCTGTAATTCGAATTTCGACAAATGGCTCTATGGCGACCTTCACTTTGTCTCTAAGAATAAGTAGTTAAAATTGCAGCCCATTCCATTGCGTAAATTTCCCGGAAAACTGGATTAAAATTTTTGATCCTGACTTTTGATCCATGGCTTGATCAAAATTTTCAATCCAGTTTTCCGGGAAATCTGCTCAATAGAATGGGCTGTAATTTTAACTACTTATTCTTAGAGACAAAATGAAGGTCGCCATAGAGCCATTTGTCGAAATTCGAATTACAGAAAAAGTTAAAAATAAAAGAAACTTTGCGTGTCTCGGCCGATAAAAACGTGGGGTCCAGATCTCCATAAGTCAATCGCCCCTCAAACACGCAGCTACAAACTTAGAAATGTAGTGCGATATTGCATGCAAATTTCAGGGACGTTTGTTTCTATATGAATGAGTTTACACGTGTGTAAGGAAAAAAGAGCGCTAAATTCTACTCTTTTTCATATAGTTTGAGTTTCCTCTAAATTGAAAATCAGACACTTAGTAAATATTTTTATGAAATCAAATAGTCACTCAAACGCTAAAGTGTTCATAGACCATCTTGCCTGCACTCATCGAACGGAATGTATACTGTATTACGCTTTGTATTATGCATTAAAATATGTATACTACCAAAAATATAAACTATTTAGTATATTTTTAATTATGCTATCTATTCATGACCTGGTCAAGTTAGATGAACTTGATCTTAGTCCTTCTTAATTTATAAAAATATTCTTGGTGTGCGGTTCCCGTGATTGTTTGACTTTTTCGTTTGCTTCGTCGCTGCATATCTTTGTAATAATGAAGAGAACATTTTTATTGATACTAGGGCAAAAAGACTATTTCTATTAATATTTACATTGTACAAAACTCCATTTGAAATTAATTCATATGTTTTGGTAATAATTGTAAAATCTACCTACACCTCGTCAACAATTAATTCAATACCAATATATTATAAAATGAATTATTATACATTTAACAAACCAATTACATACAATCTAAAAAACGGCGACTATCAGTAAGGATTTGTTATCATGCCTTTTTAAGATATCATCATTGTATTTAATATTATCAATGATAATATTTATCTCTTGCTTAGGACACTTTGAACAATTTGGATCAGCTAGACGATAGTGTGATTGAACTAGTATACACACACGAAATTAAATCAACTTAACCGTGTAAACAAATTTCAAGTATATCCACAGCATTGAGTGAGAAAATTTTGATTGCTACAATTACAAATGGGCGATCGGTGAGAAATGAGCTCATGGGTGCCCCGAAGTCACGAGGCTCTCTGACTAATATTTTTTTCTTATACTTGAGATCTTATCGTTCCTGGTAGTTAGCATTAGAAAAGAAGAAAAAAGTAAAATCTCCACCTCAGTTTTGTTCCATCTTGTGAGAGACTCATTTTCATGAATGTTTGCAACACCAGCATTTAGTGTTTTGTGTTAATTTTGATTTTTTTTCGCAAAAAATGGTGAGTTTTAATTTTTAATTTATTATAATCATACGCTAAAAATTGATTTATAAATGTATTTAAATTATTTAAAACTTGGTTAACCTAATTTTCTATACTACTGAAAGTGCCAAATTTTATGAAATTCTAATGTTTACGTTATTGATGTACGTATGGAGTAATTTCTGTTGATTTATTACGAGATAATGTGAATGAATGATAATTACTAAACTCAATAGAGTCTGAAATAGTTGAAATATCGTCGAATAAAATAGTTGTTTAAACGTCAAAATGAATTAAAATTCAGATGAGGAAAAGGAAGCTGACCGTAGACTCGTCAGGAGGAAAGAATGGTAAAAATAATAAAGGCAGTGAACAAAACGCCATGATATGGAACGATACAAACATAGACTCGGACGACCCTGCGCTTCCTCATACTCGACCGAAGACAAAAAAATTTGGCAAGACTCTTCCCCCTCTCGAAATCAAGCCTGCTCTATCCGACGGCATATTGTCGCCAAATCTAGTGACGCCTCCCACACCAGGACTGTTGGAGGCACTCGATAAATTCTTACCAAGAACGCCTATCTTCGCCGACGTGTACGGCAATGTCAAAACCGACGAGGTAACTAAGTGGATATTCAGCGATCACTGGAACAATGAAACGCGCCTCTGTCAATACTTTAGCACGAAACCTTACGACGAAGTGTGCAATTTTGTAAAGGATGAGTTGCAAAAGCGTAAATTACGCTCCAAGTGCATTTGCTGCGGCAACTCTCTGTTGCATTTGTCGATACGGGTAGGCTACGACAAGATATCGATGCTGCTTATGAGGTATTGATAATACTTGCTCGAACATGAACGTGATTATGCTCCGACCAAGCTCACTGGTTTGTTTTTTGCAATTTGTTCAAGCGAAAATTTGATCCACTGCAAGAATGATCTGGGCGAGACTCCACTGCACACGGCATGCGACGTTGGCAGTCTGGAAATCGTAGACGAATTGATCGAGAACGGAGCCGATCCCTCCGCCAAAGATAATAGTGGCATAGCGCCGGTTTACATTGCACTGGCTAAAGGTCGTAGCGAGATGGTGGATTTCTTCATTCAGAATGGTACCGATGTGAATCAACCGCTTTCACAATTTTACAAAATTATGCCGTTGCATGTGGCCGCTCTCAAAGGCTTCTCCTACATAGTTAGCATGTTGCTTCACTACGGTGCCGATCCCGAGGCACAAACGAAGCAAGGCCACAGCGCCGCCAGCATTGCCATCGTTTCGAATCATACGGAATGTGCTAAACAAATCTTGGCTACCATACCGGATTTAAACGTAGATTTGAGACACATCAATAATCAGACGCTTCTGCACTTATCGTGCCAATACGATCGAGAGGAATGCGTGAAAATGTTACTTCTTCTGGGAGCCGATGTGAGTTCTGTCCTGCCAAAATATCTCTTTATTCTCTCGAGCCTCGCGCAATATTGCGTCCTTTCTTCTCTCGTTCTTTTTTCTCAGATACATTTGCAGGATGAAAACGGAATGACAGCTTTACATATCGTAGCTCACAAGAATCACCTGAATTTAATGCAAATACTTTTGAGTTATGGTTGTAACGTCAACGTCACCGACAAATGGAACCGTACACCCCTTTACTCCGCCGTGATGAGCAATCACGCAAGCATGGTGAAAATGCTGTTGACCTACGGTGCTAACACGGACTCAATCGGAATGGCTTTGCACAAAGCATTGAAAAACAATCAACGCCAAGTTGTCATGCTGCTGTTGAATCATGGCGTCGATGTTCAAAGTCGAGATTTGGTCGGCAACACGTTACTCCAGACTACCGTCAAACAAGGAGACGTTGAAATAACTAGACAGCTGCTTCGATTGGGTACGTTTTTTCATATTTTGCATTACAATTGAAAGCTATAATTAGTTGAACATAGTTCAACTGGATCGATGTGACAATTTCATCAGTTTCACACCAGTTCCTTAAAAACCACCATCATAGTATAGATAGCGTTAACAAGACATATAAATCCTTAAATAGAATTTCTTTTCTTTTTTTAAATGTGATTTCTTCCCTTTTCTGTAGGCATTTATACAAATTTCAAAATGATTATTTTTCGCCCAGATACTACTATTTTCGCGAGCCTTTTTCCCATGCTTGAGAGCTGCATTTTTCTTACTTTGTGTTTTCTGGCATTTAATTTTTTTTTAAATGCATCTCACTTATCCTTATTTTAGTTGCAAACCGTTTAAACTACAGTGTCCGAGTTTTGTACACTTGTTTGTATAATGAACAGTTACGATCACTACCTCAGGCGAAGTGATTAGAGCTGCAGATAACTCTACGCAAAGACTTGAGTATTTACGTTTTCTTTTTATTGTCTTAATTAATCTTAATTATAAATCTATTAATCAAGAGCGACCTGAGGGTTCTATCACTTCCCCCGAAGTCCCGGACACAATTATTCATATTCTGAAAAAGTGTACGCGACCCTGGGGCTGTAACTTCAACAGTTCGTTCTGAAAGTAACACTACATCAACGCGTTTCTGAAAAATATTACTAGCCAAAAAATACAAAAAAAGGAAAATTTCATTTAAAAATAAAATAAAAAAGCCGATTGTAAGGTATATGTGTCGGATTAAGGGGGGGGGGGGAGGCAGATTTTTGAGCGAAATTTAAGCCATAAAAGTATTGTTTGAGAGTGACTTATAAGTTCCATCATTCCTAAAGTGCTTGTGTTCGTAAGCATTGATGTTCTGAAAAAGTGTACTCTGAAAGTTACGACGGATGACCAAAAACACTACTCGACAGAAAACGCAAAAGAAGAAAAAATTTAACCCGTAAAGCATAGGAAAAAAGCTCACGGAAACAGCAAAAAATTTTGGAACTTCGAAAAATGCAATGAAAAGGGGAGAAAAAATCCTACTCAAAAATCCAATAAAATTTTTTCGATTTTAAGGAGCTTTTCCCCCCTTAAGTCAATCGATCTGTTTTCTTTGCTACAACTAATATCTTTTGATCATCTTAGGTGCCGATGTTAGTTTGATTGGGGGAATTAATTCACTGATGCCGGATGCGATGAGAAGTAAAAATCCTCAACTCGTCGCTTTGTTGTGCGATGCTGGTGCCGATGTCGATAATCCGAATGAAGACGGCACTACACCGATCGAGCGAGCTATGCTCATAGGAAATCACGAGATCTTAGATATCCTTTTGAGATACACTAAAAAGTCTGACCAAAAAATAATGACTAGAAAGGCAAGCCAGGATCGTGACAATCCGCTCGAATATCACGCAGAAGAATTGAAACAATTATGGGAAAAGTTTCGTTACGAATGATGTTTTATGGCTTTCAGGATTTTTATAATTAATTCAACAAAACATAGGACGTTTTGCGTATGCATAAAATTTCAAATGTGTAGCTGTATTCAGAGTAGAACTATTTCATATGATTGACATTCAATTGTGACAATGCAAAAGTACCATACTTATTAATTGTTAAGGTTAACTTACACGAAAAGCTGCTTAGCTGAATGAAACTTGATTAAAGGCCAAGAGTAAATGGCGACGAAGTACCAAATAAGATTAAATCTCATCAATACGTAATAAGAAGATGTGCGCGTACCCGAGAGAAATTGGGTAAACCATTACTTGATGACTTAAAAAACAAACTTGAATATTATTTATCAAACAGTACCACTATTGATTGTTAATTACTGAGAAGACTAATTTTCTCAGTCTGCGTGATCTTTTTTGTCATACGCGAAAAGAAATCATTGATTTCAAAATGTATCGATCCACATAAGTATAATTTGAATGAAAAAGGGTATCAGCTTATTTCGGGCTACCTCAGAAGTATCAGCTCGCGGTACCCTGATAGAATTGCAACATTTTTATGGGAAAAAGCGTTACACCAATGGTGTAAAAATGTTGCGTTTGACCAGGGTATACAGCGGGCTATAGGCTGGCACACCTTTGATAAGTTATACATTTTCAACGGGTTCAATTTGAATATATACAACCTGAAAGACTGTAAAATTATCATTTTTTTTATATGTTTGTGGATATTCAATTCTAGTACTATTATAATATTAAGTCCCAAAGTCATTTAAAATTTGTCTTGGAAGTATAAAAATTATTGTATCATTTTTTGTAATGGTCAACGTACGCGCTAAAATTTAATCACGTGAGCTCAATATGTGGAAAGGGAAAGTTTTATTTATACAAATTTTCATCTGTTACAGCCAATTGTAATCAGTGGTACTACAATACATGTAATCCTGGATAGAGTCAGAATTATATATATAAAAAATATAACATTGATCAAGAGACTTTTCTCATTTTTTATTCTGTACATTTTTTGAGAAATAAAAAAATATATATGTATTAAATGGAATGTGCACAAAACAAGTGTTTTTAATCTTTTACTATCAAAGATAATATTTTTATCGATTTACCTACAGTTTTGTGTAATTTGTATGTAACAAAGGACTGTATTTTGGTTCAATGTATCATTTCTATTTTATCTATAGCATGAGGCACAAATCTTTGTTAGGTATGATACATGACTGTTACTATTTCTATCATTGTGCCATTCCACACTATTATTATTTCGATTTTTGCATAAATTAGTCCATCAAAGTTTTTATTTATAAATTTCACCAGGACGGACGGAAAAATTTTACCGAGCTGAAATCGGATTTGAATATTTATCATTTGATTGTGTGATATACATTGTGTACATATAACATCAATTCAAAAACTAAGTCATATATTCGCTTTTTTATGGAACGTAAACACATTCAACGTTTACGTTCCAACGTTTTCGTAAACTCAACTAAAACGAAAAATTTTTTTACGACTAAAAAGTGATACATGCTCATGGGGGTGCTTTTAATAAGTTGATTAAATAAAGTGAAAAGTATATTCATTAGGAATGAGAAGAGAAAGTATGCACAACGCGTAGATTATTCTATTATAGAAAAAAGAAGTATAAATAAAATTATTTTATTTCTTGAAACTTCATGGTTTTAGTTGAAGGATTAGTGAAATACGCTTTGCAAATACCAAAATAGTTTAAATATGATTAGAAATTCGTTTAAAATATTTCTAAAAGCTCTAACTGCCAAAACAATATCACAAGCTGAAGCAATTTAAAACCAATTGTACCGTCTGCAATAACGAGTATTCGAAGGTATCTAACATTTCATGCACGTTACACCACCATCACAAAAATATTTATGTATACGTGTATATCGATGGTACATTTGCACGTAACATGCCACGTATTTTACAGTGGCAACAGTATAATACATACGACAATGTTAACAGTGTTCCATCCTGCATTCAACATTCCAAAATTTAAATTTGAGCTCTTTTACAACGTCAGACACATTTTGTACTAATATATTTCCTCTCTTCCCCTTTCCCTCTCTCTCTCTCTCTCTCTCTTTTATATGCTTTTTATATGCTCTCAAAATTGGGTGAATTTTTTTTACAAATTTTTTGAAGGACGCTTATTACTTCTGGAATGCGTAATTAAAAAAATGTTAAAAAAGCGATTATATATAGCACACGTAAGTCCTTACGTTTAGCTTTACAGATTCCGATATCATCATCATCAATTCAGTAAAATATTGAATTTTCACCTCATGCGACCGTCAAAGTGTTTTTTTTTCAAGCGATCCAAACCGAGCATGAATGGAATCTTTTCTGCTGTAGAAGTACCACTGTTATAACACAAATACGGCATGCACGAGGATTGTGTGTCAATTGTTTGTGCACATCTATTTTGAATTATATTAACGAGAGCATTATATGAAAAGAAATAAAGGTAGTGAGAGAGAGAGAGAGAGATATATAATGTTAGCAATCATCATCGTGTGAGCAAAATTTACATTTCCATTTAGTATCGACGCGCGCGAGAGAGGCCGAAGTTGACCAAGAATTCCACTGGCAATTGCTTCGCGTTCATATTAACACAATTTCCGATAAATATAAAAGTGGGAGATACGCTTGCACGCTCGATCGAGTCCTGATATAAAAAGCGACGAAAATGAACGAGTGCGCGAGCTCAGAGTTGCCGATTGGAATTCGCGCGAGGCAACCGATGTGCCACCACTAGCGAGCATCAACAATTGTTGCAAGCCTCAGTTTTTTTTGCCTTCGTCCGTCGCGACAAAGGAGAGTTCTATATATGAAATCTATTTCCGTATGGTTCGAGAACGTCGAAAGTTCTTTATTATACACTGAAATGCGCGTGCATGAGTGCTAGGAGGACAGTCATTCGTTACTCATCGATCCCTCGCTTGAATGAGCGCGAATTTGTGCGCAGGGCAGAGTACAGATAGGAGGCAACGACTTCATTCGTTTATTTTTGCTCTGAAAACTGCTGCTACCACTACTGTGCACATATAATAAAAGCTAAATAGAATCGTGATTCATGCGCACACGCTCGTCTGCATTGTACAGGCTATCTCTCTTTTTACACATACACCCAAACACACACACGCACACAAACACACGTACATTTACCTGCTATATCTATATTGTTATGCTCTTTTTAAGCTATATATAAATGGTAACATGGTTTTCCCTCATTTTCCATATTTTTCGCCCCAAATTTAGCAAAAGTTGCGTTTTGGTCTTTCAAGTAATATATTTCAATTCTAGCCTTATTGAAAGATATGAACTACTTCATTTTTGGACTTTTATGCTATTCTTACATTTTTAAGGAGTTTCGAGTTCATAAACATGATTTTTTACCACAAGGAATTAAAATTTTAATCCCTTAACAAAATTTATATCTAATATCATTCACCACAAAAAAGCAGAATAAAATTTGAACAATGAATATCTAACTTTTAGGCTCTGTAGATCCAAGAAGAAAGAACAGAAAAAATTGTCTCAAAAAATAAAGGGTTGAAAATTTAAGGATTTTCATTTTTTTCAATTTTTTCTTTGAAAGTACATAATTTCTTTAATTTTAACTTTGGCCCATTGCACTAATTCTGATTTAGCCTATTGCATTACAAGTGGCCATTACATATATTTCAAATCAGTTGCCTCTGTCTTTATTTTTCTCGCGCTCCACATAAATTGCAATTGTTAGCAAAATCGCACTCAACCGGTACCATTGAGATTCTCGCTGAGTATCGATAATACAACAAAAGTGTAATCTACCGGCGTAATATAATGTAAGTTGAGTCACGATCAACGTGAAAAGTTTCGAGCTCAACTTGCTTTTTTAAGACCTCGATTTATGCAATAAGCAATGTCCACATTTCGTTTTATCAAATTGTAATGTCGTATACTCTGCAGAGGACGCGAATCAGGAGCAAAAGAGAAGGAGGCGTTAACGCCATCGCATATAACTATCTATTGCGCGTACATATATAATACTCTCTCACACACATCGCACGCACAATATAATACCCACACAGATGCGTATAGGCTCGCAGCTCGTGACAGCTCTTCCGACAGGCGCAGAGAGCTTTCGCCACGTTCCAGGTGACATTTTGCGGCTGCCGCAATGCCTACAACGAGGCATCTAATTATTCTGCGAATCTCTCTCTCTCTCTCTCTATATATATATATATCTCGCTTGATTATGCTGCAAGACTCGAGTTTTGCAGTGATGCGCTGCAAGCGTCTGTGTGCAACAGTCCAGCGACTCGAAAATATTCGTGAGAACTCGTATTATTCATCTACGGTCAACAACGATTAAAAAAAGTCGTTAGATGTATTTTATCATTTGTATTCGCGCGACTGTGCACAAGGTGAGGGGTTTAACGAAAATTAGGAGTTTCTGCTGTATATATGAACAATTATTGATTAACAATGATTTACAATATCATGGATAAAATGTATCCATCGCGTGTAGCCTTTAGTTTTATACGTTATAGGTTCGTGCACGTATGTACTACGTACAAGCAGGCGTATACGAGTGTATCAGGTAGCTTTATATTCGAAACGTAAACAAAAACTTTTCATTTCTTCAGATGAGCGCTCAAGCGTATACGTATCTATGCGTCTCTGTGTGTCTCTGTGTGTGTAAGGCATTATGTACGTGTGGCCTATATGCGTGTACGTAACAGAGTGTGCCGAACCTGTATAGATTTCTTTTGTTGGCCTTTAATTGAAAAATATCGAAGTCAATTGTTGTCGAGCAACGTGGCGGCATGTGAACGCATACACCTATGCATTATATCAGGGCGTCGTGTATCGCGCACCATACACGATCTGACTCCATTTACGTACTGCACCTTTATTTTTCCCATTAAAAATATTTACATGTACAGACGTAAAAATAGCAGTAGCAAAATCAACGGCTTTGCTCTAAAAATGTATACTGCATGCAGGCGTATATATATGTATGAATGGTTATTATCATCAAGGCAGCTTATTGTTTTTTCCTCATCAGTCGACATCATTGAAAATTGTTATTATTATTAATATTCACGCTTGATTCGAACCAAATGATTCGCACACCTCGATGGCCCAACCTGTGCTATATTAATTGCGCGCGAGCACAAGCAGATATCTATGTACATGTGTGTGTGTGTGTGTGTGTGTGTGTGTGTGTGTGTGTGTGTGTGTGTAAAGTGCACGCGTATACACAGCTAGACGTCACCAATGCTCATGGGAAGGAAAGAGAACGAGCTTGAATGACACGTGAATTTCGTGGCTCGCATTTATGCACGTGTATAGGCACTGCTGCTGCTACTGCTGCTTGGGAGGGAGTATGCGTACGAGCATATTTAGATAGACACGCTGTTGCTAGAGTAGAGCTCGCATTCGATTGCTGAAAATTGATTCGTGGTGCGTGAATTGAAATTTCTCATCATTCCCCTTGGTCCATTGATGTTGGCGATGCATGTGCAGTCGCACTATAGCCGAACATTGCAGTAACTCACCTCCACAGCGTGCTCAACATGTGTGTGTGTGTGTGTGTATAGTTGCGGGTGTGCACGTAATACTCTTATAGCACGGCGCCCATTCGACGCTCAGCTACAGCTCTGATTTTACTCGGATATACCCGTTATATTACTATTATATTACAATATTCAAAATTGGAATGCGATGCAAGACGTTTTTGGAATTTTCACAGAGTTCCAGCAGAAAGCTCGGAGCAGCTCTAATTCGTGAAGGAGATTTGAAAAAGTTGACGAGCTCTTACATCGAGAGTCAACGGAATACTCAAGCTTCGAGTAAAATATGATGCTTAAAGCGTGTCATTTTCGTTGCGCCGCGAAAATTCCAACTTCGATATTAACACAGAGTAAAAAAGAGACAGAGATAAAAAAGGAAGGGAGCTGAGAGAGAGAAAGATAGAAAAGAGCTGAGCCAAGAGTTGCTGAGCGACAGGAAAGAGACCGGTAATGACAAAATCGTTTGGTTGCAGACATCAGGGATGGTTTAACGCATGTTGCAATGGTTATAGCGTGCGGAATCGATTATTAAATTTTGTTTCTCGCGCACGAGCGCGAGAGATGTGGGGGGCCAGGGCAGGCCAATTGTCCGCGACGGAAACTCATATCCGGGTACTTCCGTAGGCAATGTTGTCGCTCTAGCGACGGTCCTCCCTTCGCACTTTCTACTTACCCAATCCTTGCACTAAGGGGGGAGAGAGAGAGAGAGAAAATAACCAAACGCGCAGATAGCGGCTTGAGCCCATCAGCAAACGAGTAATGAAGTCACTTCCGGAATTGCAAGCTCCCTCTCACCTTGAATTCTCTCTTCGATAGGCAAAATTTGACTTTTCTCTCGCGAGCGAGGGTGTGAACAGCGGGCGTAGCTGGCAAGAGAGCAATAAATTTATGTATATATCCGTGCCGATGACTGGAATATACTTGAGAAACGGGGGACTTACGGCCATCCACCGAAAGTTCCAGTACGAAATCAAACAACGAGTTCGTAAAAAACACTGCATGTTTGCAGGTTCACTGCAATTAGAGTCATTTAGCACGCCACCACTAAAAGCTCAAAAGCACGAATACTTGTGCGGACATGGCGAATAATCGCGAAACTAATACTACCAAACCAAGTCTGCAAATAATATGCCTGTTTTCGACGCAGCTTCTTATCGTGTTAAATTATTTCAGAAGTACTATTACAATGTTATAGAACTCAATCTTGTATAATGAATGTACGCTCAAAAAAGTTATTCTGTGGGACCTTTCTATAACGAATACAACAAATTTACCTCAATAACAAAGAAAATCCAATATTTCATCCATGCAAGTGTAAAGATTCGGTTGATCAAAACATCTAAAAATAAAAAAATTCCACCAACCATCGACAAAAATAATTGTTGTCACGATCTTCATCCATGTTTCGGTTAAAAATTGTTCGCGTTATATATCTCGAAACACAATAAACTCATCACACAGACTCAGAGAGAAAAAGCTAAAAAAAAGAAAAAAAACCAAATGATAATAATTAATAAGTCAAACAATTCAAAAAGCAATCACTTAGACACCGACGTGTCTCTGGTAGTGGCGTCGTCGCGTGTTAGTTTTGCAACGCGATCTCACTGCTCGTGTACAAAACTAACAAATCGGGATCACCAATAGCCACACGGAATCGGTAGTGCAGAAGTAGCGCATCGCTTACATCCATGAGAGTCCGTCATTCGATAGTCGTTTCTTTTTTCTCTCTTTCTTTTCATTTCACTCAAAAAGTCACGATCATTATCATTGTTGTGTTATTATTGGTCCGAAATTCCCATAAGTGTTACGAAACTTGAATTAGATGCATGTGAGCTTAAATAATTGGCCGTGTTTACGAGCTTGGCGGTGCTTAGTTGGATGCCAGCTCATCGAATGATAGCATTTTGAAAGACCGATAGTAGTAGCGTATACATATTGTATATACATGTGAATTTGCACATGTGCGTGCTCTTGTGTGTGCGTATGCGTGAGTGTTTCGAAACAGTGATATACCTTTTAGCGCTTAATTGCACAATACATGCTCAAACATTATAATAAAATTATTATACTCTATAAATAGGCCTGTATAGGTAGACTACATAAAAGGCGTTATTGACTTAATGGACGAGCTCGTCGTACGCACGCGAGACATCGAAACATCCACTCACTGGAATGCGATTGTAATCGTATTTTACTTTCGTTTCATCGATGATTTTGTTTGCTTCTACCGGAATATTAATTTGCTCGCAGCCTCGACTAATGTCATTACGCAGTATCCCCTCACTATAACTTATTGTGTTTAGAAAATATTCTATTAGAGCCGAGATGTTTGGGTATTTTTATTTTAAAAAATAATGAACTTATCTGAGAAATTATCTGCAAAGCAGTTTTTATCAATCTTGAGCTGAGTTGGAGGATAAAGAGAAAATATTGCATAATCATTGCATGATGTTTAAAAAGAACAGCGAGCTTTTCATCGAGTTTGTATTTCCGTCGAAATTTTACAAACAGTGACGATTAAACATATTGGGTTCAGTCTATTTGCAATTTTGTGATAGTAATTTGTAATAGTATCTAACTCATTGCTGACGGGTGAAAAAGAGCGAGCTCGAGCAACCGAACAGTCGCTGCAGGCATAAAATTGCAGTTTCGAAATGCTAAACGGATCGCTCAATGCGTAAGTATAGTACATTACGATGCAAGTGCCATATAAGTAACACTTTTTTGACAACAGCTACGAGTGCGTGGATACTCCACAAGCAACGTCGAGCCAGATGCAGGCGGCTTCGCAGTCATCGTCAACCAGCAGTCCAAGAGTTCCCACGCATTTATCGATCGATTTGGAGAGCGGCGCGACCGAGAGCGAATATGGTCCTCAGCGTGGCAGATCGCAGAGCCTGCGCCGTCAAAGCATATCTCTGAACGCCGTTTTAAATAACCATCGACGCGCATTGTTCGGGTTAATTTTTGCTCTTTAATCCACAAGATTATTTTCGAAGGAGCATTTTTTTAATGATCAAATCGACACGTTGTGAATTGCAGTGCGCTGTTCACGCGCGTCGGCAGCAACATGTCCTTGCCGTCGTGCGTGCAGGACCAAGAAGCTCTGAGCATGGAATTGAACGAGGCATCCATATCCTCTAGCAGCAAGAGCAATCGTCCGGTAGACCCGGAGTCGACGAGTCGACCAATACTGTTGCAATTGACGTCCGCCACACCGATCGTCAACGTCAACGGCGCGGCTGCCACTGCCGTCCACAATTTACCGCTCGCAAATCTCAATCTCGACAAAGGTTCGCCATTTTTCTCTTGCAATAGTTTTCTTAAAAATGTTTAAATTCTGTCTCTGTAGAAAAAAAATACATGCTTCATGTTAAGATGTTAATATTAAATATGTACGCGCGCAATAATATGCCAAGCAGATAAAAGTAGAAACAGTTTCACGGGGGCTGGATCCGGGCCGGACGATCCATCTGGAGGACATGCCAAGCAGCAGCAGCAGCAGCGGCATACACGGCTGAGACAACAGCAAGCGCAACTGATGTCGAGCATAAGTACCCTCTACGCGAAATTGCTCGTAGTCGTGGGCGTAGCCGTGCCAGTGACGGCCAGCGTCAGCCAGCAAGTACCTGCAGCACTCGACCAGGTGATTGACCTATACTTACTTACCTCGCCCAAAGTGCGGCAATCAGAGCCTCTAACGTCGAGAGAGCTTTTTCCGAGTCAATCTTTCACACGTCGCTCCTCCTGTTACGCTCGCGCGCATTCAGGGCTTCTACCTGTACCTGTACTTGGGCAGCGTGGCGTTCGTCGTGGCCATTTACACGACTCTGCTGCGAGACAAGGCCCTGAAGAAGATGATCGTGAAGCACGTGAGACACGAGAGCACGTACAGCTTCGTCGAGTCGCAGCAGCTGCACCAGAAGAAGGAGCAGGTCGAGTCGACGGCCATCGAGATCAACTGCAAGTGCGGCCAGCTGGCCATGGCCGAGAGGATGCAGCGCCAACAGCGGGCCGCGGAGCCGGCTCTGGGACAGCCGTATCGAACCCAGCAGTACGGCAGCTTCTGCCTGAGACTCGGGGCGGTGGGCTTCGGCGCCGGCAGTCTCGTGTTCACCGGATTGCAGATCGGCGCCGAGCTCAGCAACGGTCCGTTTCGGGCTCTGATACCGGCCTCGCGCCTCCTGCTCGTCACCGCTCAGATGCACTTCATCTTTCTCAACAGCAAAGACCTCGAGCTGACGAGGCACGCGGCCTTCGCCAAGCTCGGCCTGATGCACCTCATAGCGACCAACATCTGCGAGTGGCTGCAGGTGGGTCATTTCATCCAGTGAGGCACTTTCATCCTCGATTCTTTCTTTTTTCTCTGCGATGCGTGTCGATGCCAATCGTAGCCATACGAAATTCTGTGATGTGAGCATAGGCATTGGTGGAAGAGACTCAGTACGAGATGGAGCAATTGGAGCACTCGCTGGAGCGCGACAACAGCATATTCATCAAGCTGCTGAGGGACGCGAGCCCCTTTCTGTTTCCCTGCACGATCGAGTTCAGTCTCATTTGCGCCGTCATACTGTTCGAGATGTGGAAGAGGATCGATCAGCGCAAGCACGCCGAGGCCAACGCGCACCTCATCGGCGGCAGATCGGTTCATCAGCTCAGCATCGATTGCGGTAGTGCGCACAGGTAATATATATATCACCTCGAGCATCCTTTCTTTCTTATTTTTTTTTTGGCATACAGGGGCCTCTTTGGCGGTATACTCGTGGTCGCCGCCACGGTACTGAGTCTCATCATGTTTTTCGTTCTGCGCGAGACCAATCCGCAGATGGCCATCGAGCAGGTGACGTCGCTCGAGGCCGCCATACAGACAGCAGGTTCGTGGCTCGAAATCGAACGACGCGTTAGCTCGACCAACGATTATCCTTTCTGTATGGCAGGTATGATAGCGTCGGTCGGGGGTGCGCTCAAGTTACGATCGCTGGATCACCGTAATACGAAGCCACCTCATCTCGACTCGACGCTGCTGACCGCAGCTCAAGCCGGCGTCTATCTTCACTGCATCTTCGGGGCTGTCGGCAGCATTTTGACGCGCGGCCCGACCTGGATCATATGCTTGGCCGCCAATTTTCTCGCTCTCCTGCAGAGCACGACTCAGACCATTCTCATACAGGTACGGTATACACGGAGAGACGCGAATCGCGTTGCTCGCGATCGATCGATTATCCATTATCCTGGCCCGCGTCTCGATTGCAATTTATAGATCGCCTGGCGGAGACGCTCGAGATCCAACGAAAAGCCCGGCAAGGAGCTCATCACTTTCCTCATTGTGGTCAATATCGCCATGTGGGCGGTCAATTCGTTGGAGAAGTCTCGAGCTGGTGTCAGGCCTGATCATCTGGAATTTTTTGGCATCTGGGCTTGGACCATCATAACTCACCTCTCCATACCGCTGGCAATATTTTACCGCTTCCATTCGGCTATATGCTTGTTCGAGGTGTGGAAGAGCTGCTACAAGTACAGGCCGCTACTGCTCGGCTCGCCTCTCAGCCACCATATCAAATGAAAATTATCTCTTTTTTTTTCTATTCTCAATAAATGTCTGTCGTTTAAGATTAATCTCAAGAGTACACTTTTTTAATAAAAAAAGGCCTGGCGAGCGCACAAGATGCGTGGGTCCTGGAAAAGCCTTACGTTCGCAGCCAGCGGTAAAATAAACACTTAGCCGGGAGTGCAGTCAAGAAACTGTATAAATACACGCGTGGCTCCCAAGATATGGTCGACACATAACATTTTAGCTTTGGCGGTTCTACTGAGCTTGCAATCAATTCCTGCGTTCCGTGGCATACATGTATTCACACACATATATATATAGACTTGTCTAAAGACGAGTGGAGCGCGTGAGAGCAACATCCTTGAAAGTGCCGAGAGTAACTAAATAGTAGTCCGACGTATAGCTCGCACTAGTAGGTCGAGAGACACAAGAGGTTCTTCCTTTGTCTATATAGGCGTGCGAGTGTGTGTATACTCGCACATCATACAACGAGGAGGTTGCGCACAGAGCGCGAGAGAGAGAGAGAGAAGCATTGATTTACTTACGTATGCTATACTACGAGACCACAGAGTGCGTCTAAAGACCAGCCAGTCAAGTTGCAAGAGAAACAGCCCCTGTGTACATACCCGCAAAAATGTACTCGAGTACCAAGACCAAAGCTTCTCTTCCGCGCCTTTTAGTCGTATTTTTTACCTAGCGTATGAATTCGTTGTCGATCTCATATATATACGTGTGCGTGTATACGTCGCTACGAAACTTTTCCGAATAGATCGACCTCACGCGCGCGTGAGTCTATGTTCAAGGCGGCTTTTAACATGATGGACCGTGCAACAGCGTGTAAGGGAAGAAAAATGCAATTTTCTGGGCCGACGCAAAAAAGGCAAAAAGGCAAAAAAATTGTGGGAACCAACTCGACCCGAGGCGCATCGGTCGCCTCGAGATGCACACCGGAGCTCGAGCCGGCCGATACATTATATTGTCATAAAAGCGCTGAACAAGATTCTAATTTCATTTTCCCATCCTGACTTTTCATCGTAATGCCCTATGAAATGTACGTATATATACATATAGGGAGCCACTCTTTTTGCGAAAAACGAGAAAGAACGAGTGAAAAACATGAGCTGCCTATATAAACAATAAACTCGGGGGTTATTTTATTTCTTCAAAGAAACTTGGCGCTCAGCTCGTTGAGCGTTTCAATTATATATATTCACCAGAATGGCTGCAGTGCCACTTGCGCATATTTCTTTTTTTTTTTACAGCTTGTTTGGAAAAGCGAAACTTTTATGAAGGTAAAAAAATATTTTCTCTTCCTCCCTCTCTATGCCCTGGAAATAAACGAAGGAAAGTTTATCGTTTGTGCATCGCGTTGCCACTGAAATTCGCTGTCATCTTCCGTGGGTAACATAATGAGCCTTGAGATTCGATTGAATAATGATGATGCACCCCCGCCTCCCTCGACTCGCACACATACATAAATCGTATATATTTTCGAGTGCAAGCCTCGTTACTTGGAACAGATCGAGCTTTTGCAACAATGTGGCAGCCGGGCTATATTGTGCACGGTTACGACATCGCGACATGTTGCTATTAAAAAGAAAAAGAAATTCATAGTCGGTCTGGGTGTAACACAAATTCGATTTCAGACCGTAAGACGTGCCTATTTTTTCAAACAACAACAAAAAAAGATACAAAATGACAAGCATCGAGAATGGCGCTCTAACAGTCAGCCATCTGTTATACGATTTGCAAATCCAAACTAGCGATGCCTTTATATTTGCTCATGGCCGCGATCTTTTGACAAACGACCACGACGAAGGATTTTTTTTCTTACGTGTAACTTTCCCACTCCAGTCACAATATCGTCGATCGCGTCCCGTCAATCGATGCATTTTGACGACTTTACGTCTCGATAAAATCTTGCCAAGACATACTAAACTCCACAGTTATTAATCCTCAGCAGGAGAAAATAAAAGCATTGAAATCTCACGATACCCAAGTCGTACGCTAATGAAAACTTTTATAATGTGATTCTGCTCGTGGGACGAGAAAAAGAGAGAAAGAGCAAAATGAGAGGGAACGAATAGATAGAATTACACGCACGAAAGAAGCTTTATGAACCATTCATATCCTGCGCAAATGGTTAAATTAACCAGAAGAGTGAAAGTAAAAGTAGGAGAGAACAAAAATAATCATTGCTGAAACTCTGGTTTAATTTAAAGTTTGTTATCATCGCGTAGATGGGATCAGCGATGTAAGGATGAATAAACTTTGTTTTTCATCCGAGAGCAATGCGTGCTGTTTTACTAATATTCTTTTTATCTATAGTCGCTTACAAGCAGCAGCTTTGCTCCGCGCGAAGCGTAAATCACACCCCAACCTTAACGCGCACGACTCAAGAAAGGCAAGAGTAAAAGAATAAATATGCGCTTATAAACGTGCATTGTCTGCATAGCGTGGCTGACAAAAGGGTAGGAAAAACGATAAGAAGGCTTGTGTGTAGCATCGTATATCGACGACTTTTGTTCGCACACTTTCAACTCCTTAAAAAGTATACGCGAGACAACCTAAACTTGGTTTTGTGTAAATCATAGTACTACTACGCAAGGCATTGATACGGAAAAAACTTTTTTCTTAGCACAGCCCAAGCCGTTCGGCTTCGCGCGAGGCCGGATTATCTGATCATCTTTGAGGATACAAATATACCTATACACCTTACGTATAAACGTTGATTCCGTGTGTAAGCTTGGAGCGTCCGGCGCAAAGTTCAGAGGTATTTCATCATAATTAAACAATTCAAGTATAGTAAAATTGAGTTTATTCGTTGTTATTTACAATTCGTGGAACGAGGTAGCAAATTCTTATATAAAAATAAACATCACAACAACATTTCATGGTTTTTCATGTAAAAAAAATCGTTGACATTGGTCAAAAAATAGAGTACGAATAATTCGTCATTAATTCATAACGCTCATTCGTTTTTGAAATTTGGTGGTCGCTTCTCTACGAATGCCTTCATGCCCTCTTTTTGATCGCTCTGTCAAACAAGGTAAAATCATTAGAACTTTGCTTTTTAATAGGATGAAGAATGAATGGAATAGAATGAAACTCACGGTGGCAAAGGTAGCCCAAAAGAGCCTCTTCTCGTAGTCTAAACCTTGCTGCAGAGTAGTTTCGTAAGCTGAAAGAAAAATGGCCAGTTAGCGAGTAAATGTCGATCTCATTCACGGAAAATTGAGGAAAAGTAAAAGCACCTTTGTTAACGGAATCCTTAGCCATGGCGACGGAAACCTGCGAGTGACTGGCAATCTTCTCGGCGAGCTTGACAGCCTCCTGCACGAGCTGATCGGCCGGCACGACTTTGCTGACGAGTCCGCTGCGCTCGGCCTCTTGAGCCGTGAACTGATTGCCGGTAAGAACGATCTCCATGGCTTTGCTCTTGCCAACGGCGCGAGTGAGCCTCTGAGTGCCACCGGCTCCGGGTATCGTGCCGATCGCTATTTCCGGCTGACCGAATTTCGCCTTATCCCCCGCGTAGATAATGTCGCACATCATTGCCAATTCGCAGCCCCCGCCAAGCTACAAGTGTATATAATACAAATAAATATGTGTGCGACATAATACGCAAACGTATAAGCTGGCACAAGCTCGCGCTTGTAAATGACTTTACGAAAAAAAAAAGAAAAACACACACACCGCGTAGCCGTTGACGGCAGCTATGGTTGGCTTGCGAGCGGCCGCGACGCCGTTCCAGTGCTCGAGAAAGTGGCCCTTGACGTTGTCCGAGTACGAATTTCCGGCCATCTCCTTGATATCGGCGCCGGCGGCGAAGGCCTTTTCGTTGCCGGTTATCACCACTGCGCCGACGCTGCCGTCCTGGTCCAGGGCTTTGATCGCGTCGTTCATCTCGTGCATGAGCTTGGCGCAGAGGGCATTCAGGGCTTTGGGCCTGTTCAAGGTGATCAAGGCTACGTTGCTCTTGGCGCCGGTTTTTTCGACCTTGATGAATTCATACGTTGGCGTCGCGCCGCCTGCGCATCGAACACATAAAAGAACATTTCTGAATTCAATGAAAAAAGACTTTTGCGTTGCTTTCCTTGGCTTTCGCAACGACTCGATGGGCGATAACGCGGCTTGCTCGATAAGCGCAACCGATACGTATTTCTACCGCACGGAGCAAATAATGTGTAAACAGCTTGTTGAACCGATGAAATCTCCCGGGAACGTTTCTTGCACAAATTTACGCGAACAAGCCTTGGACTTGTGATGTTAAACTAATCGTTTCTTCGATTTCTCACCGCACAATGTCTTTACAAAAACCGAACCTCGTAATAAAATTATTGCTTATGGTTTTTAACAACATGATAATTACAATTTTACATTGCGCACATGAAAATTGTATAACGATCAAAGGCTGCGCGTATTATTATTTTTATGCGCATAATAAAATATTAAATTGATTTTCGGCATTGCCATTTCTATGCTACATTTGTAACCTACAAATTAAATGGAAAGTAAAACGTACCTATCAAAAAGTCATAAATGGAGAAAATAACTAGCGATTTTTTCGAAATCGAAAAATTCTTCGAATTTTTTAACACGTCTTAGCTAGTGTATTATGAAAAACAAGTGCAATAATGATGCCAACAACTGACAATCAACAAACTTACACGAAATAAATGCACTTATTTAAAAGTAACAGTCAAATTATTCAGCATTAGTAAGCACCTTTAGAAAAAAAATCATACATATTCTGTAGCGTATTGATGAGAAGTAAATTATCGAACTCAAGTACATTAAAATCATGCGTCAACTGCAGACTTTAAAATATAAAAATATGTTTTGAAGGATCAACTTACTGGAATAGAATTTAGGCAGTTCATTGCACCTCAGCAAGTTCGTAAAACGACCTGAAACTGCACGAGTTACAGCAAAATTCACCATTTTTATCTTAATTTCGAGTAAAAATAAGCTCAAGTTCGTCAGTGAATATTGAGAATAAAGTGAATCGAAAGACCGGCTGCTCGTCACTGCGAGTATAAGATAAGATTCTAATTTGTTTGTGAATTCATGGCCGTCACGTAATATAGTCTGCACGGTACAGCATGTAGAAAGCGACGTTTAGGTCCGCATTATAATGATTGTGTGGAATCGAAATTTGCGTTGATCAATCAAAGCTATCAAAAGGGAAATACCGTATTTCCTTACATATTAAAATTATTGGATAAAAGTAGTTTGTACTTATAATGAACTTTTCATTGATCTTAACACAATAACAATTTTCAACAAACCAGATATGAAAATCAATACAGAAAAATTTTAAATTGTTCGTTAGAATTGATTTTTATTAAATAATTATAAATTTAGGGATTATTTATAACAACAGGAGTGTGACTCCAAATTTGCACACTAACTTTTTTTTGTTTATGTACAAAACAAATTTTATTTTTTCATCTCATCTTTGAAATACAAATACTAATTTCGAACTTTATTTTAGATATTTTATTGTATTCATTTATACAACATATGTTGAAAGAAATAAATAATACAAACTTTCAAAGATAATTTTTATAAAACAAAAAAATTTGAAATATCTTTCCAGTTTTTAAAACAATTTTCTAAGGTTTCTAAATTTTGGATAAATGTCTCAATCCAAGAGAAAATTTAAATTATACTTCTGACAAAACCTTATTGGACCTTAATATCCTACAGGTATCAATTGTCAATTGTATGGTAAAAAATTACATAATAATTCAATTCAATCTTACAAAAATGTAAACAAAAATTTATAGAACAATACTTTGAAGTATAAAAAAATTTGAGGAATGTGTTGGCATGACAATAATTTCAGTTTTACTAATTATTTATGAAATTATAAAAAAAATTTTATCATTTATCAAGAAAATAGTGAATCATTCAAAAGAAACTTAACAATCTTTAAAAACTATTTCAAAGCCAAACAATTTTTCACACATTTTTGAAAAATAATCAGTTAAGGTGCACCTGGCATAATTAGGTTGTGGTAATTTTTCAACAGCTTTATGAATTAATTTTTTTAATGATGATAGAGTGTCCCTATCGCATTTCTCATCACTCATCCATTTTTGTACGCATGAGATCATTTCTAATGTCATCTTTGTTTCATCCAACAATTTTGCAGATGAGTGAATTGATTTTCTGTAAACATAGTTCATACTTTCTGAAAATGGTAAATTTAGAAGAGGAGGCCAGTTATTTTTACAGGCTGGACATTCGCAATGGAAAAAAGTTTGGCTTTTTATCCTATCCACAGTTGAAACGTAATAAAAAAGAGGCTTGTATGATATAAATATCTGTATTAAATTAAAATTGAGATATTAAAAACATTTTGTGTGAGGATTTTTCAGCTATGACTTTTTTTTACCTGCATTCCTTTAGGTATTGGTTCCAAAGTATAATATATGATTTTCATATCATCTGTATGGCATTTACCAATATTTGCTACACAGCTATGATTAGCAAGAGAACTGATTAATCCCACAAAAATCCCTCTTCTCTTATTCGAAATACTAAGTGGCAAGGATGTTGGATGATCCATCTGTAAAAGTAATTTAATGCTACAAACTACTCAAATCATTTTTTCATCTTTTTTTACTCAAATTTTTTTAGGTGAAAAGTTGTTCGTAAAGAGAAACATTCTTACTTCAAATGAATTTGTTATTTCAATCTTCATTAATCTTAATATTATGCACCCGATAAAAATAAAATCATCATTATTCAACAAATGATTAAAAGAATCATCATTTATTAATTTCTTTTTAAATAGATCAGTAAATTTAGCAATAGCAAGTAAAGTTTGACCAGCACATCTAATCAAAGTTTCATTTATATTATCTGGTATTTTATAAGTTAAACTGAATACTTTTATCAATGAATCTTGAACAAATTTGCTTTCATTGGAATAATCGCCAAATTTACCATCTGGAAAAAAATAATTTTGAGTAAATAGTGTTAAACATCCAATAGTGTTAATATCGTTCACAAATATATTACAGGCAAATTTCATTACCTTGACTATCAATTTTTTTCAATTCAGATTGAATTTTATCAACTGTTTTATATTTTTTGAACAATAATATAATTATTTTTAAGCAAAAAAAAATGCTTTCTGAAAAATTCTGTTGATGCTGAACAATGTAGGCTGTGAACGAACATTCAATATCATGGTATTCTTTTTTAGCTGAATCTTTACATAATGTAGAACAAAATATACACTGTTTACATGTTTCACAAGGTATTCCATTCCATGCAACCCGTAAACAATGGTAGCAGTAAGCAAATGGATACATAACATTCGGAATAACAAAAACACTTTCTACCAATACTAATTCACCTACTTCAATATCACGAGTTGCATATAAGCCTCTGCCCATTTCCTTTGTCATTTTTATTTCAAGGCTATCAAAAGGACCGGTACTTTCTTTATTTTTAATTATGTTATCAAATTCTTCTTTTTCTTTTAAAAACTTTCTATTACTTGGAACAAATAATTTGTTAGCTATTAAAATTGATTTTGTTCTTTTTATTATTTCTGAGGCACAAGTTTGCTCGTCAATAGATAATTTTGCTTCATTAAAGATTTGAATAACTTGATTGAAGACATCTTTGTTTGCAGGAGAGCCCAGAGCAGTTAAACATTCAACTTTCCTGCAATATAATTTAATCCTTTTGATGTTCAATTTAGTTAATTCTAAAACTTTATCAATATCATCAATGCACTCTTTGTATTTATGTAAATGAAGCAAAAAAACCGATCGATTATTATAAGCTAACATTAATTCTTCTGATTCTTTAGGAGCACAAGCTATGCTTTCATTATACAAGTATAGAATATTCATATGATCTTCAGCACTGTGTTTTTTCTTCTTGAAAATTACATTTCCTTCATTTCGAATTATACGAGATTCTTCCGCACTTTTCAGGCTTTCTCTAATATTTAAATAAGTAACGTAAGCCTTGCTCTTCGGATCAGACAGAAAGCCTATAATCTCTTTGCGTTCAACATCCATGACAATCTTTCTGTTGTTTGTATTTTTATTAATTCCAACTTCAAACTAAAATTCATATGCGTAAGTGTCTATAACTATATACTTAACTTTTCCAATTATGATTTGAATACACGATCAAATGCACAAGTGGTAGACATATTTGCATCAAGCTAGCATACTGAAGTTTGCATCCATTGGATAAATAATGATTGAACCAGAATTTTCAGGCGATAATTAAAAATGTATGATTTCAATCGTTTCTTGTGTTCTCGAAAGAATTGGAAAATCCGTTGTTGAATAAGTTCGACCTTCCGAGATAAAAATCTGTTCGCACGTTGCAATATGCGATCTCGTAAGTTGGAACTCATAAGCGAAGTCAAGACAAAAAAAAAAGGCTAAAGTTATGTTGGACACACTGACACCTAGAAAAGAGACTCTCCTAACTCCTTAGACCTCAACTCATTGTTACCAAAGGGCCGTTTATAAACTGCATGTTAATTTGAATTGAAGTTCCGTCATCATTCGTAATATTTTGAATAAAAAATAAAATTGAGAAGATAATATTTTTCAATTAAAATTAAAGAATGATCATTTTATTACAATATGTACAGTAGTATCTTTAATTACATGATAAAGGTGGAAAAAAGGTGGTAAAATGTCAAACCAAAGAATTAATTTTGCTTTCAATTCACTTTTGAAATTATTTTCAGCAATCATAATTATTAAAAAATAAATTCATCAGTACTAATAAATGAAAATTACCTAACATCGTTTGATTACTACGTGTCAAAAGCCTATTTTTTTCACAAAAATTTTTTTTCTTAATATTAGTATCATGTCATAGTTAGTTATATGCTGCACAAAATTTCTGAACAACGATTACATATTTCTTCATTTCCTGATTCAGGATAACGTCTACATCTTTTACATAGATGTTGGTTTTCTATTTTATTCAAAGTTACGTTCATACTTTTGATTGAATTGTTTTTCAGGAGAGTAATTGAAGAAAGTTGACAGATATCACATAATTCAGATACACATGATGTTTCTGAGTTTTGCAGCATCTAGAATAATTAAAATATTTTTGATTTTTTAGTCAATGAATGAATTTAATGTTGTGCAAAATAAGAATATATTTTTCTATACATACAGATAATAATTTATAATCCTCTGAATTTACTTCTACAGTAGCCTTTAGTAACCATGGATTATTCATGTGTTTATCAAACGATATTATTTTGTTGATTTCATTCTTCAAGTCTAATGCTCTGGCAACAATAATTTTGGCTTCTGAGTTATTCCAGCTTTCCATAATATTTTGTTTTACATGAAAAAGTGGCACTGATGCTAAAAGTAAATAATTATTTTTAAAAAATTTTTTCAAATAAAGTTAATCTATATTACATACTTAGATTTTCTGGGTGATGAAGCCAAATTTCTTCAGCAAGATGTGGAAGAATAGGTGCTATCGATCTGACAGTTATTGCTAAAGCAATTGCAATAACATCTAAAGCTCCCAATCTATAGGGAGAATCTGATTTTTCACAGTAAATTCTATCTTTTATAAGATGACAGTAAATTGCAGAAACATCATTTGTAATAAAATTTACAATAGTGCGGCTGACATTGTGATATTGATATTTTTCATACATTGATTGTATCTAAAAAATATTTTTCTAATTATTATTTTTCAATTATTGCTCCCACCAATCATAGAAAATAAGTAAGCTTACATTATGGTGATAATGATAAAGCTGATACAGCATGTATTTATCTAGGTATTTATACTGAGGCTCTACCATTGAATTTTTTATTTCATAGTTAGATTGCAAGGCACCTAAAAGAAATTTAAAAACCAAACGAAATTTATGGATGGTATCAGCGCTCCCTTGAAGCAGAGTATTTTTCATTGGTATCAAAGTATGTTGAGTTCCATGACTTGCTACCCACCACCTTTAAAAGGTTACTATGATTAAAACTATGATTCAAAATTATAAAATAAATCTTAAATAATTTTTAATGTAAGTAACCTCAAGACATCAATGCCATAAACTGGATTTTTATTAATATCTTTTCCACCTTTAGTAATGAGTTCTGGGTTTATGACATTTCCAATTGATTTAGACATTTTGTTATTTTTATCATCTACAGCAAATCCATGAACAAATAAATCACTAAAAATTTTTGAACATGTTAAAATGTAGTTTGTTGAAAATATTTTTGACAAAGTAACTCAGATAAAATTTCACCTACTCGTAAGGTGAACATTCTTGTAATGCAACAGATGTAAGGAGAGACGACTGAAACCAACCATTAAATTGATCCATTCCTTCCATATAAAGATTTGCTTTTTTATTTGTTAAAACAGTAGACCAAGACACACCACTATCAAACCAAATATCTAAAATATCCTAAAAAAAATGAATAGATAACAATTCTCATTAGGGTTTTAACATATTATCTCAAAAAGACAAAAATATATGTACATTTCCTTTTTCCAAAGAAGAAGGCTCCACATTTAATTCTGCAATAAGTTTTTGACCTAAAAGTTTCTCTATTGGTAATTCCCACCAAAATTCATTACCGTATTTATTTACTAATTTTTCCAAGCGATCAATCCATTTGCTACAATAAAGATTATGAATGACAACACAATTGACAAAAAATGTATGCACATATTACTATAATAATGTATACCCTGAAATGAAAACTTTGTTGGTTCCTTTATAAAATAAAACTGGTATTGGCGTACCCCAAACTCTTTGTCTGGAAATGCACCAGTAAGGTCGCTTTTGCAACTGCGAAACTAGAGCATTTTTCCAAGAAACCCTATTTTGTTCAGGATAAATATTAATTTTTTGAACACATTCAATGGCTTTATCTTTTATTGAATTAGTGTCAATAAACCATTGATAGCTAGCAAGAACAATAACAGGTTTTTTTGTTCTCCAGTCATAAGGGTAACTATGAGTAATAGTTTCTGTATTTAAAATATCTTGACCAATCTTAGCTATTACTGCATTGGTACCTTGCTCTAATACACTTATACCTTCAAAGTCAGGTCCAGCTTGAGCATTATATTTACCATCTTCGTTGACAAAAGATTTGATGGCTATTTTATTTTCTAGCGCAACAAGGAAGTCTTCTTGACCATGAGCAGGAGCAGTGTGAACTAGACCTGTGCCTTGTTCAGTATTAACATGATTCCCAGCTAAGAAAGGTAAGACTTCACCTGTGATTGGATGTGCATATGTTGTTCCAAAAAGTTCGTAACCTATTACATAAAATAGCTTATAAATTGTCCTAAATTCGTGATAAAACTTGAGAAATAAAATCAAGTTACCCATAAATGTTTTTAAAACACTTAATGGACCAATTTTTTCCTGGTTTGATGTAATTAAGTCACTTGCCAATATGTATAAATTAGAGCTATAATCTTTTGCTAAACAATACTTGGCATTTGAACAATAAGACAAAGCTTGATTGGCAACTAATGTCCATGGAGTAGTTGTCCATGTAAGTGCATAGATAGGTTTATCTCCAAATGAAGCAAGTTTTTCTGGCAAATCAACTAAAAGTAATCTAACAGTTGCACATAAACTTTGATGATCATCTTTATATTCTAATTCAGATTCAGCAAGAGCTGTTCTAAAATGATTTAATACAATTAAATAAACTTTCTAAGATTTTTATATTCACAGTCATAAAATATTTACCTTGTGGATGGAGATACATAAACAGGCTTAAAATCTCTATAAACTAGATTTTTCTGATATAAATTGTAAAACTGACGAAATTGATTTTTAACATAGTCAGGGTTGTAAGTAAAATAGCAACCAGTATCTTTCCAATCAGCCATAATGCCCCATGATGCAAATATTTGACGCTGCTTACAAATAGCTTCTTCGGCAAATTTTCTAGCTAATAAAGTAAAATTACTATAAACAATTAGCTTAAAGCAAAGTTTAAATAAATGATTGTGCAAAACCTTGAGCTCTTATCTGAAGTGGGGATAGATCTGAATAATTATTTTTTTTAGTACTACTCAAAGCTTTTAATTCAATAGGTAGCCCATGACAATCCCATCCAGGGATATAATGAACTCTTTGACCTTTGATAACTTTGCTCCTGATTGTAATATCTTTGAGAATCTGAAATGTAATTTTACCATCCATTAATTTAATCATAATTCTTGGTTTTTTTAAAGCTTATTTTATAACTACTTTGTTGATTGTGTGACCCATGTGAGGATCACCATTAGCATAAGGAGGACCATCGTGTAATACAAAATCAGGACCTTTCAAATTTGCTCTTTGCCAATTGTATAGTTCAGAAAATCCACATTTCTACAAGAAAAAAAAAGAGAATGAATTGCCTATTAATCAATAAAATCCTTTTTGTTCTTACATCTTTTATGTACTGATCCATTTCGATTCTTTTTTTGCCATGTATTTTAGCTTGAAAGTTAGTCTTTGGCAAAATTACAGTGTCACTGTATCGCTTTTCAACAAATTTTTCTTTTTGAGACGAAAAAACTCGACATTGCATTTGCGATTGCCTGTAATATAGGATGTTACCTATATTAATAAATCTTTTTAAAGATTTCGTCATAATGAGATCGTATTATTTTGCTTTTGGGGAATTAATATTGTTACGTCATCCATTTAATGAACAGACCACTCTTCATTATGTCAAATAATATTAATTTTCCCCATTTTTATATTTACGCGACTCTGATAAAAATTAAACTTATTTTAAGACCATTGACCGGTGATGTACAAAGATGTGAGTTTTTCAAAGTCAATATATTTTTGGTTAGTTCAAAGTGTGCAGCTGCGCAAAGGCGCCGTCATCATGATGGGCGCGACAATTAGAACGTTGACAAAAATTTGTAAATGTGTGAGAGTAATATTTTTCTATTTGTATGATTTGTTCAAGTTAAAAAGAATTAGATGTGTTCACATCATTAACGATAAATTGAAAAAAGTATGGATTTAAAGACAAAATAATTTACATCATTCTAAAAGGTGGGCTCAACAAAAATTTGGATCATGCTTTCTTTATAATTTAATAAATGTCAAGAATTTTTCATAATATAATTTTTTATTATAAAATGTAATTTTTTTTAATATAGTTACAGATGGAAATTGTTAGATGTGAAATCAACTACTACTATGTTTTTATGAACGTACCAGCAAAATTCCATTCATAATTTTTTTATACAAAAACATAATGACATAAGTGATAATATTGCATTAATCTTTTTAAGCAATCTTCAAGCATAAAATGACATAGTTTAAAAAAAAGCTATAATAGGTAGGTTTTTATACTAATCTATAAAATATAAGCTTATTAATGAAAATACCCTATACTACAAAACTAATGAAACGGTCTAATAATTATCAATTAGTAAAACATTTAAGCTCCATTGGTGGTAGCGGTTAATGATGTGTCATGACTTTTAATGTATTCATCAAGTTGTGCATCCAGTTCTTCTGCTGTGACTGTAATTTTTTTACCCCGACTACTGTCAGGTTTATTGCGTGGCTTTCCTCCTGATGCATTACTGCGTCTTTGGTTGGGTTTATCTCCTAGCTTGCGAATCCCTCCTCCACCTAATCGTGATTGTTGAATCGATGGTCTACTACTTGGAATTTCACTTGTAGCTAGCATAATTTTCATTGATCTACCATCAAGTGGTACTCCATTATATTGTTTCATTGCTTTTAAAGCATCTCCTCTGCGTTCAAAAATCAAATCTGCAGTGCCAAGTGACCTTCCTGACCTATCGTAATGAACGCCAGCATGTTTTAAAGGTCCAAATTCACTAAATAATTCCAAAATATCTGAATCAGTCACACCAAAATCAAGATTAGATACTATTAATTTTGTGGACTCTTTTGGAGTTGTTTTCAAGCTGCCCCTGCTTGTGTTGCCAAGGAAAGCTTCTCGTTTACTGTGAGTCGTATTATTTACTTGACGGCGTGTAATTCCACCTTGAGGACGGTTACGTTGATCGCGATTAGCTCCTCCGCCAAAACGCTTAGCACCCCCTTTGTTACTGGGACCTCTACGATTCCCGTTACCACGACTGCCTTTGTTTTGTTTAATGATATCATCAAGACTCATATCCATCTTGTCACTGGCCATTTCAAGTAATTATTATTATTATTGTTGTAGATATCCTGTAAATAAATTACTATCATTAGTAATGGTGAAGTCATTTCATATTACATGTAAAAAATTGGACACTACATTCACTACTCTGATTGTAATCACAGCAATCTCTGAGATTTTACTTGTGTTTTACAAATTGAAACAAACAACATAACCAATAACTTGCGTTATCATTTACCATGACCTTTGAAAGCCTCACTTAAAGCCACGTGTTTACTTTATTTTATTTACAGCATGCTCAAGTTAGTCGGATACTTTGTTTGAAAATTTCATGATAACAAACTAGCTCAAATTTCAGCTTGAATAAATTCGAATCTTGAATAAAAATACATTTCACCTAGGGCCGGTACGGAAGTAATTCATTAATTACTTTAATGAAGTAAAAATTAAAGTTATTTTCTCAGTGATATAAAATTTCATTTTAACAATGTTTTTCAGCCAGGTAAAATGTATAAAAATTGTATTTCACACAACTTTTAAGGTTAAGTATGAAATAGTTGGTCACGAAGTAAATGACGAATACACGAATGGTTTTGCAATTCATTCAACAAAAAAATACGTCAAAACAACACAATATAATCATTACTTACTCAGAAGACTGACTTGAAGAGGCAAAAATACTGTCGGAGCCAGCTCGGTATTAACTGAAGTAAACAAATTTAAAAATGGAGGAACGTTCTCAGCAAGGCTCGATCGTGAAGCAGTGATGTCTACACAGTGACTGCCAAGCGCTTACTGAGTACTGAATCGTACCTCGAGGCGTGTATTGTATGAGGCTTGCCCGCGTTGCTTACTGACTTGCCGGCTGACGGCGCGGCATAAGTTGAACATATATAAGAAGTGTGAGCGCTATTGTTGTGGGGGTAAGTACAGTATTATGATGAACGGGCAGCGTGAGGTCATCTCGCCTGCATGTACTTGTATTGATAACTTTATCTTTACCACGTGTTCACATTAGGTTTCTAATAGCAGAGAGGCAAGCTAGGATGCTGTGAAATATCAGAAGGAAAGCAGCTGATTTGACTGGAGGCCAAACAAAGCGACCGCCCGTATACTTTACATGTTAAAGTTGGTTGGTAACAGTACTTATAATTAGTTTAACGCTCAGTAAAAAAATAAACAAAAAATATCTGGAGAAAGCGGAAATCCTTGTGTATCGAAATATCGAAGCGGTTTTTAGTTAAAGTCTTTAGATTGTAAATAAAAAAATTTTGAAATTTCGGCTTTTTTGTCTGTGATATTGTCAATAAACTCTAATAAAATAGTTATTAAAAGTGGTTTTTTGGGTTGCAATATAAACTCTCAAGCGGGGAAGTTTTTATTCTTTCAAATTACCAATGAAAAACTAAAAAAAAATCGTAATTTCGAAAAATTATGGAAATAATCTCGCAATCGTCTTCCAACCCAAGTCTGCTGTTGGTGGAAAGATAATATTCTTAATTACGATTGTTTCTGAGTTTTTCTTTGGTAATTTGAAAGAATAAAAACTTCACCGCTTGAGAGTTTATATTGCAACCCAAAAGACCACTTTTAATAACTATTTTATTAGAGTTTATTGACAATATCACAGACAAAAAAGCCGAAATTTCAATATTTTTTTATTTAAAATCTAAAGACTTTAACTAAAAACCGCTTCGATATTTCGATACACAAGGATTTCCGCTTTCTTCAGATATTTTTTGTTTATTTTTTTACTGAGCGTTAAACTAATTATAAGTACTTTTACCAACCAACTTAAACATGTAAAGTATACGGGCGGTCGCTTTCTTTGGCCTCCAGTCAAATCAGCTGGTCGATTTTTGACCGTCACTGACGACTGTGAAAACAGCCTATTAGAGGAGGGATTTGAATTTGGAACAGCGCGATGCCTTGTGCGCAACATTAAGGTCTTTCACAATCGCATTTCACATTCGCCGCCTATTAATAAATTTTAATAGATTAATAATTGATTAATAAATTGTATGTATGTATTTTATCAAAGCACGAATCACTATGTTTTTGAAGCATATCAGTTATTGGACTTTACCCTTTCATACATTTTTTACAGTAAGTTTTATTTTTATTATGTGGTAAATTCAAAACTTGTCCTATCTATTAATAAACAATATTCAATAATTGGTTTTACTATTGTAATAACGTATGTACATAACTAAAGCTAACTCTGAAGCATTTGTTACTATTCTCTGTATGAACTTTTAGCTGTTGTGTTCACAAAATAACACTAAAGTTCATGAACTATGAGGGTTTGTATTATGACTTTGTTATTAGAAAATATAATAGTAAACTTTATTTTTAATTGCTCTTTACATAATTTTAATTTTGCGGGGGAAGTTTGTCATTTGATGATATTGTGAACTACCTTAATGTTGCTCTTCGTTTCAGGCTCGATCAGACCAAATTCATGTTCCGCAGTTCAGTTCGCAGTTCGCACTTTTTATACACTGACAGCAACTTGCTACTCTCGCAAGTTGCACGTGCTCAGTAGACGTAATGTCAGTCGTGTTATTTCACGCAAGAAGTGTAGTTGTTTCGCTAGCACACGTGCATTGACATTAGCTGTCTAGTTATATTTACGTGATATCAACTTGCTATTCGCTTTTGGTTCATAATCAATAATCAATATGGTGGAAGAAGAACATACTCAAGAGTTCATTTTAGAAAAAGAGTGTGAACTTCGTTTTGAAGTTGAAAGTAAAGGACAAAAAGTTGAATTGGAGGTTAGTAATAATTCACCATAAAACTTTAGTTTACCTACTTGTTAATTGTTTAGCTTGTAACCACAATTATTTATTTGCAGTTGAAAAGTGGATTAGCTGAGGTGTTCGGCACCGAGTTAGTTAAACAGAAGAAGTACAAATTTTCTAATGGTTCTAAAGTGGCTGTATTCACTTGGCATGGTTGCACACTTCAATTAACTGGAAGAACGGAAGTAGCATATATAGCTAAAGAAACCCCAATGTCCATTTATAGTAATTGTCACCAAGCCCTAGAAGAATTGAGAAAGAAAGCTGATGATGATGATTTGCCAGGGCCTGTTGTAATGATTGTTGGTCCACGCGATGTAGGAAAGACAACTTTGTGTAAAATTTTATTAAATTATGCTGCAAGAATGCATCGTAGACCCACTTATATTGATCTGGATGTTACACGAGCCCAAATATGCATGCCTGGGTGTATTGGAGCTATAAGAGTTGAAAGGCAATTGAATCCTGCTGAAGGTTTTCATGTACAATCTCCTTTAACTTATCATTTTGGTAAACTATCTCCAAATGATAATATTGACCATTACAATATAGCTGTTACAGAATTAGCCAAACACTCTAAGTTAACAGATAATAAAAAAACCAAAATTTCTGGAACAATCATAAACACACCTGCTTGGGTCAAAGGTGAAAGTGAAAAACTAATACTTCACGCCATTGAATCATTTAAAGTAGATGCAGTGTTAGTGCTGGATCAAGAGAGACTTTATAACGAACTTGTAAAAATTAAGCCAGAATCACTAAAGGCGATACTTATACCAAAAAGTGGTGGTGTAGTTGCAAAAAGTCAATTACAAAGAGATGAAATACGTGAAATATTTATAAAAGAATATTTCTATGGTGGAAGGATACCACTTTATCCTCATAGTTTTGAAGTAAAATGGAGTGATGTAAATATTTTCAAAATTGGTGCACCATTGTTACCGTCATCATGTATGCCAGTTGGAATGAAAGTAGAAGATAATTCTACAAAAATTGTTAATATAACTCCCTCATTAAGTATATTGCATCATGTACTGTGTGTAACATTTGCTCAATCAGCTGAGACAATTTTTGAAACTAACTTAGCGGGATTTGTTGTTGTTACAAATGTTGATGTAGACAGGCAATGTCTTACATTATTAAGTCCGCAACCTGGACCTCTGATGCACAATCATTTAATTTTAAGTGATTTACAATTTATGGATACTCACTAAACTTTTTATTGAATGAACCACTGTAAATATATTTTTGTCATTAAAATTATTTTCATAATAAAAACTCAAAGCTCTATTTTTTTTCTTTTTCTTCTTGTTAAAAATAAATTGCTAGATTTTCAGGTGAAAAGGTAACTTGAAATCCAGCAGAATTTTATTCTGATACAACTTTCATAAGCAGTATATAAATCTTATAACAGTTCTAAATCTTATATCAGTTAGTATTTAGTGTTGTATTCGGGTTGCAGAAAAATGAAAATCCTCATCCCTCATAGATGTTCCTCGTAGAGCTCAAAGCTGAATTTTCATTTTTCAAATTGTTTTCTACTTTCTGAGGGTAGATATGAAAAAATTGTTGAAACATGATTTTTTATGTAAAATTTGATGAGGAATTCAGATTTGTTGCCAAAAATCATATTTGTAACCTTTCTCCTTATTAAAAATCGAAAATAGCATAAAAGTAAAAAATGTGTTTGTCTCCATCGATTAGGCCAATATTGTAATGGTCCAGTCAAATTAAAAATTTTCTGATGAAAAATAGTGACAGGATCGGACCATATGGGATATGTTGATCTTGATGAGGACAAGTAACCTTAGCTGCGTGACTTTTTGAGTTGCCGTTAGGGTAAGGGGAAGGTTAGAAGGGTGGTAAAATCACATTTTCACCTTTTTAGCTTTTCCATGGAAAGCAATCGAAAAAAAAATTCAAACTAAAGTTGTAGCGATTAATTAGACCTTTAATTTGAGCCGAACCATGATCAATTACGTTAATTATTTACCGAGACAAATGCGAAAAAACCCTCTGAAATGGCCATTTTTTCAATTGAATTTATTATAAACAATTTCAGTTCAATCGGCACTTACAATACATCAAAATGTAGGTCTTTTAACGACAAAAACAACGAACTTTTAAAAGTTAAGACCGGACGTATAGTTCCCGAGAAACAGTCATTTGTTTATTAAAACTCTCCCTCGAACGAGGCTGCGTCTCGATTGTTAATTACAATAGCGAGTCCGTTCGAAGCGCAAAAGAAAGTTTAAGACTTGTACTTATCCGTAGCAAAAAGTTTTAGACGGAGAATCAAAAAATATACGATAAACAATGCCATGATAATTCGGTATTTTTTCAGTTATAAACAAATAGACGCAGAGCGTCAATTATAATAGTTAGCCGGATAATTTATTTTTTGTTCAATAGCTAGCTGACATTCACAGTGTGCGTCTACAGTATATAGCCATGTTATATGGGGTATCACTGGCATAGCTGGAGCTATGATACAATTATAAAGCCGAGTAATATGGTTATTGCAAGATGCTTATTTAAATTTCTTTTTTTAATTGTCCCCGACGTGCTCGTAGGCTTGAAGATCAGCATTGTCCCTGGTGTTCTCCCACGCGCACTCATTTAAAATTTTTTTTTTAGAACGCATTCGAGTTTGGTAATAACCTGCCAACTGATTTGCACCTCGGTTTCGAACCGATTAATACCAGGTTTAATCCTGAGCGTTAGTGTCAAACCAGGTTTTTAATTAGATTAAATCTTAGTTTTAATTTAGTTTTACCACCGGTATTCCATCGGATTTTCACCGGCTTTATAACCGGGTTTTAACCAATTTTATATGATTTTTTTAATCTGGGTATCAACCAGTATTCCATCGGGTTAAAGCTTGATTATCCATAGGTTTTAATCCCGGGTTTTAACTCGTATTCAACCCGGATTAAACCCGGATTAAACACGATGAGATTTGGCGCTGCGCGGGGTACTGAGCACCGAATCAGCTGCCGCGCGGGCCGAAAAGTCGCGTTTTTACACGTTCATCGCTGTATTTCACTAAGTAATAATCAATACCACTCTTTGAAAACTTGCATATCGATAGGAAATTTCCTCAGCTTTTGATTGTGACTACTTAGAAAAATCTTAAAAATGCCCTTTTTGAGATATTTGACTTTGAAGGTTTTCCGGCAATTTTCTCGAGGAAAATGGAAAATTTTTGGAAATCTGACCTCACCATCGGAAAGCTGAGGTAAGTTCCAATCAAAATCATGTGGCTCTTATTTTTTCTAGGTGCATTTAGATGCTTTTCTGACGAGTTAGAAATTGAGCAATTTGGCTTAATAAGGCCGCTCGCGCGCACCGCTGGAGAATTGACGTGAAGTACCCCATTTTTATAAATGTTATGAATATTGATTCCCTACCCCAATGTCATGAAAAGTTAATAATTAATAGATATGAAAAAAAATAATAATAAATAATAAAATAGAAAACCTATTAACATATGGAATAAAATTGAAGAGGGGAACATAAAAGGAATGAAAAGGGTGCGATCACTGGATCACACCTTTTTCTCGGGGAAGGTGCTGTAATAAGCTGGCCTCCACGCAGCAACGCTATCTGCCCGAGCACCCGAGAAGTACGACAAACGCTTGGACGGGCGATGCTCAGCTTCGCTTTCGGAGCAGCCCGGCGCATCAATGAAAACAAGCTTCTAAGCTGAGCGACGCACTGCTTACCGAAAATAGCGAAGTTGAGCGACGCACGGCTCCTTCGAGGCGACGAAAAGCCTCTACGTTGAACGGCACAATTGCTTCACGATACGAGATGATATCGATATTGACCTATTATCGATTATCGTATCGAATAAAAACGATGTATATCGTATTGGTATCGATATCGTCAATATTCCATCATTAAAATATCGTATCGATATCGACGATATCGATAATCGAGGAATTTCCATATTTCAATAAAAATAATTTCTATTAACAAAATTTTATTAATTTTAAAAAGTTAATGAAAAAAACGTATAACTGAGGTAAAATTTTACAACTAAAGTTCTTACAATAAAAATCTTAAATTAAACCTCACAGATTTCTCACTTCACAGAGCTCTTCATCCATCGATTGATATACAGATGAGTTCGCGTATACTGTCGTCTTTGAGCGAAGTTCTCTTGTTATTAACCACAATTAGGCTTGCCTCTGAAAACAGTCTTTCCACGGGGACCGAAGTATACAGCTTGAATACATAAGATATCTCTTGCTATTAAAGACAAGATTGGATACTGTTGTTGGTGGTTTTTCCACCAATCAAGTATGTTCGTATTTGCGCCTGGTCTGGTAGCTCCCAATTAGTCATCAACTTCTTGAGTTGAATTGTTTGCAATACTTGGATCTTCAAATAAAATATTAAAATCGAGACCTCCGTCATCAATTTTTCTTTTTTTTACGCAGGGTTCGTTAATTGCACTGCCAAATTTTTCATGGTATTTTGAATACATTTCTTTTAATTTTTTTTACACTTTGGCTATTTTCATTTCGCGCCCCAAGGAGTTTTGTTCAAGCCAATTAATTTAACTTTAGGATCGAGCACCAAAGACACACAGTATACCCAATTACATTTAATATAATGCGCCAAAAGCTTGACTTTTCCCTCTTGGAAAGCGTGGATAAGTTTTTCATTCTCTTTATTAAACTCTTCTTCTTCATTTAGAATAAAAGATTTCTTTTCGATATAATCTAATAAGAGATTAAATGCTGTTGCAGCATCTGGCAATGTTATGCGGGTTTCCCCACTAATACGCCGATAAACAGTTTCAAAATTTCCCAAGTATTCCACTATGAATTGAATGCGAGCCCACTCTTTTTGAGAAATAGAGTATTGACTCAGTTTAGAATTTTCGCACAACATTACCAGAGCATCTTTTAACTGTAAAGCTACTTGTAGAATATGATAAGTGCTGTTCCAACGAGTTCGACAATCAACTATTGGCATCATATATTCTACTTTTAAAATGACACAACAATAAATGAGTTTATTGTTTTATAACTTCAGATCTTTTAATTTTTTTATGTAAGTTTCTTATCCTTTTTATTATACTACTCGTTGAACCGACTTCTGATTCTATATCTTCATCATCTTCTTTTTCTTCATCACTTTCTGAGATAGAGTTTTCTCGGTTTCCAATTTCATTTTTTTCACCACAATCATCATCGGTATTGCATTGAATATCTATCAATTTTAGCGTATTTTGCACGCCTAAATTCAGTACATGAGAGAGACATCGGAAATGCTGATCATCCATATCAAAATCACTGTCTACATCAGCTAGTAACTTCTTCAGTCCTTCAATAAACTTTGTGTTTGCTGAGGCATTATCTACAGTAATTCCTATAATTTTTTTTTCAATTTTATAAAATTTCACAACATTTAGAAAAATGTTGGCTATGTCAAAGCCTGTGTGACGTCCTTTCGAAGCGACAAAATCCAATGCAAGTGATCGTTGATTATCTATAAAATGTATCGTTATACCGTAATACGATTTACTGGCTTTCGATGACCATGCATATACGGTAAAAGCGAATTTTGAATTATTCATATTTAATATTTCTTTTAAATTTTCTTGCATTTTCTTCAATTCTTCTGTGATCATGTCACTGGACGTCGAGGAAACGACATTTGCTTATTAATGAATGCGAAGAAATTTTGAGTCTCTTGCCCCAATGAAAATATTTTATAAGTTCTTAGGCAAGATTTTAAAAAGATCTTGATAAAATTTTAAGACATCTGGTAGCAAGTTCTTATATAAGATCTTGATAAAACTGGAAGACTTCAGGTAGCAAATTCTTAGGAGAGTTTTTGATTTCATTACTAGACTTGAAATAAAAAGTACTTTATATATAATTTGAATTTCATGATTGTGATGAAGTTTTACTATTTTATCAAGATCTTATACAAGAACTTGCTACCAGATGTCTTACTATTTTATCAAGATCTTATACAAGAACTTGCTACTAGAAGTCTTACAATTTTATCAAGATCTTTTTAAAATCTTGCCTAAGAACTTATAAAATATTTTCATTGGGGTGGTTGTCAAAAAAATTTTTTGGCAAATTTTTGACAGCCATCCAAGTAACCACCATCCTGTTGGGATCTACAGTTGGTATACCTAGAAAAATGAATTTTATATTAGCCATGAAACAAAAGCATTTTTAGTAACAAAATTTAGGCGAGCATCTTACTTTAATCATAGAATCGATTCGTTTTTGTGAA